TTATAAAATTTTTGATATATAACGCGCGCTCTGATTGGCTGACGACCGTGTTTATATCAGAGGACAGAGACACGGCTTACCGGCAAAATTTTCTTTTCGCTCGAAAAATTTTATAAAAGAAATATAAAACGGCCGCTTGTGTCTCTGTCCTCTGATATAAACACGGTGGGAGTTGAAAAACACTCGAGAAGCAAGAGAAACACTCGCTACGCTCGTGTTCCTAAGCTTGCTTCTTTCGTGTTTTTCGAACTCCCACCGTGTTTATATCAGAAGACAGAGACACGCGCGCCGTTTTATATTTCTTAATTAATAGTCCCTATAGCAGCCCCTCTTGGGATAGAAATGGCCTGTCATCATCACACACATGAATGAGAATGCACACTCTTACTCTTCCTCCATAGAGATCCCAAGGGGGCCGGCTACGCAGGTAGTACACATATACCTTACCTAACTGCACTGATATCTCGCCAATGGCCCAAGTAGCATTGTTACAAACAGATATAAAATCCGGATTGAGATTTTGTCCAAGAATWGGCATAAAATCAGCTGAAAAAAATGGCACAAAWKRCATSAGAATTCCTSTCCTATTAATAGATAATATTACATGTTTTTGAATGTAAATTCGGTCTAGTACAGTCTCAACATTATATCAAGTAAAGATGACTTACGTAGACAGGGTTTGACGTGGGTAAAGCAKGCTTTTGTCAGGTCTCCTAGAAGGGCAAATGAGCTTTGTCTCACCTCAGGCATCTTGTCCTGTAAGAAAAATAAAGATATCAATGAGCTCCTGAGGACATACATGTACATTTTATAATGGTCATCCATTAATGTTGATTGTGAACACCCAGTTGCCTACATCCCTTACATGTAATTGCTTAAGGAATAAAAAACAGTTTTCCGTGTATTATACTCTGATAAAAACACGCGGGATGTGGGGAGAACACGAGAGAAGCGTAGGAAAACACAACGCGAAGGGGAGTGGTTTCCAGCTTCTCGAGTGTTCTCTCCACATCCCGCGTGTTTTTATCAGAGTATAATACACGGAAAACTGTTTTTTTATTGCTTTTATAAAATAACAAGAGCTAAAATATTCACGAGAAAAAAAGCCGACAAAAAAATGACGCGAGTGTGTATTATGCTCTCATCAAACACGGCTTTTTGGCCAATCAGAGTGCGCGTAATATGAAAGTTATTTTTTAAATTGATTTAAAAAACTTTTATAGAGTGAAGTACAGTTCCATTCTTGTACTCAGACCCCTCTCAGTTTCCCAACAAAAAATCAAAGGCTCTGCTTGGAGATGAGCGAGTCTTTGATTTGATTGGTTCAAAAACTTCCATTTACACCATATATCATACCACCCAGATTCTGTGTCTTCAGTATTGTCTCCAACTAGAGCTTTCAGCTTTCCGTTGACAAACTGAGAGGAGTTTGCGTACAAAATGGGCACAATTCTTTATAGTATGCCATCATTGCGGTAATGTGTAACTAATGTATCCGGACACTGTCACGATAGGGAGTAATCTTTTTTTATATACTTGTCATTTATTTATGGACATTAGAAGGTGTTATACTGTACCTGCATACACTGGAAGAGCAATGTCATAATGTTACTTGAGACAACAAACTGTTCAATCTGTCCCTCAAGTCCCTCTGCTAGACCACTAAGAAGGTCTAATGCCACTATCATGAAGTCTTTGTCTGGTGGCTCAAACTGATCTGGTTGAGCTAATGATGCCTAAAAAAA